CAGCAGGAAGACAGGGACACACAGGATGAGATACAAGCCTGAAACCGTCGTGAAGACCTTAGTGATTTTCATGTCACACACGAGAGAGAAATATTTGCAAATGTGTCTAAAAGCAGATTTGTTGTGTCCTCTTAGCTTCTGGACTTTTCTTCGATGTTTGCGAAGGTGCTGATTGTTTAAGTATGTCTATTTAAACAGCTCTAGAACACATTTATGACTAATAATAATACAACACCCCACCCTCAGATTATTTACACACAAACTGAGTTTAGTTCACCTGTGTCAGTTGGAGTGTGACCAGTGAGTTCATCTGACCAGTCACTCCAGAAGCCAGAGTACGTGTAGCCACTGGGTTTAGCTCGGACCTTTACACGGTACTGACTCCCTGGGGGAACCTCAACACAGGTGCCAGTGTCTGGTCCTTGTAGGAAAACCATCTGGGACCAAATACAGAATAATTGTGTATTTATGTGTAGTTTTACATATACATGTTATACATGTTTTAGTCTGATTAATAACAGGAAAGCTGTGGTTTGATCATAATTAAATGTAATAGCCACACAGGTAAATCTCTTACCCTCCATGTGTCATCTCGTCTGGTCTGGAAGACCACTTCATACTGTAAATGATCTGTCAAAGCTGGAAGAGGCGCTTCCCATTTCAAACACAGGTTCTCCTTCTGCACTGATCCTCTCAGAGAACCTGGAGCTGAGGTTTTAACTAAAGACAGATTCTAAAATGAACCAACAGCCAGAGATAGGACATCTAAAAAAATAAATGTAAGAGTGAACAGACTGACTGGTTTGGTTGAGTGTGAACTCCTCAGTGAAGAAGGTTCTGCTCTGTGGAGCTGAGCTGCTGAGTTTGACCTTCAGCTTTTTGGAGTCATCTCCATGGAACTGACATACATCAGTGCAGTTCTCATCACCTGGACACTGGACCCATTCTTTACTAAAATGGGTCATAAAAGGAAACAAATTCACCATGTAGTGAAATATATTTTATCTGTAATTTCTAAAATTTGTCATTACCAACATTTTTTAAATTTGTTCACACAATCGATACATTGTTGTTCCTTTACCTGTGACCCTTCTTGTAGTAGAGATTGTAGTTCTTTTCTGCTTTGTTTCTGCTGCTGTTCCACTGACAGGTGACATTTTGCAAGTCAGGAGTGTAGCACACCAGTGAATTGTCATCTGAAAGGTAAAGAATCTTAACTTTATTTTCACTTATATTATATACTTTTGATCCTACCTCAGATTTATTATTTTGGTATTTGATTACACCTTACCTGCACTCTGTGGAACCATGGCCTGCCCAGGATGTGACCAGCTGCTCCAGTGTCCCAAACCAGGACTGGAGAAACATTTAACAGTGAGCTGGACTTCAGTCTCTTCCCCTGGTACCAGAGAGTCTAACACTACTCTGTTATTTTTATAATTATTCACCTGGGAAAATTTAGAACACATTTTCAAATCTCTGATTGCATCAATAAACCAACATTCAAACCTGCATGGTAGTTAAAAAACAATTCATTCTGTAAAATATTAATTGTTAAAATTTGCTGTATCTACCTCCACTGTCTTTACTCCAAGGCTTTTCGAAGAATATCTAACCCTGTACATCACATCTCCACAGTACGTTGGGACATCTGCGTGCCATGACACCATCAGCTGCCCCACGCCATCATGTTGGTGCAGGGACACATTGGTGGGAGGATTTAAAAGAACTACAAACAGGAAGGTGGGTGGAGAACAAGGGGGTGTTATGACAATTTACAAACTAATCGTTATGCTTTTTTTGCTATGTTTCCAATGTTTAATTAATTTGGATGATAAAGGATATTTATCGATTTTTGTTTTGGTCAAATTGTCCATATATTCTCTTCATATGACAGTTTTAATAATATGTGTATTTAAAAGTATCATGCATTGTTTCTTTTTTCCTGCAGAAGGTGACCCTCCACACTCCCTGAGTGACAGTGAAAAGGGAAGTGTCTTACAGTGATCCTCCACTGACACGTTGCGACTGTAGAGGCTGCTGTTTGTACCGACATCTACAACTTCAAGGTGAGTTTCTACGAACAAGAAAACGTCCGTTGCTGGGAAAAGGCAAATGTAGAGGAAAGTTCCTTTTTCTGTTCCCCGGACAAACGTGTCACATCTATTCTTCATACTAAAGAACAAACACAGAAACATCAGTCCATCACATATATAGCACACTGTGTTTTCAAGCCTATTGTTAAATCACTACAAAGGGAGTAACTAATAAGGTTTAGATTTGAAAGAATGCGTTTTGACAAGTGGTTTTTAAACATTTTGTTTTTAATTTGAAAAAAATATAACAAATGAATATTAAGTATATGTGCAATATCATAAAAAATCTCATCAGAACAAATTTGTTTATTGTTTCTTCCAGTTTGCTTCACCTTTTCTAATTTTAAAAATATTTATTGCCTACACAAAATACTACATTTCAGTTTTACTGCAACACAAAATAGTATTGATTATCTGAAACTGTTTTGGCCACTTGGAAAGTGGAAAAAATTAACCTATACATTATTAGACATTGTCATGTTTCTTTGGTATTCCACAGGGTTCTGTTTTAGTTACACTTCTGTTTATACTCTTGCTTAATTTTTTAGTCAATATATAAACAATGTTGAAAAATATTGCTCTTTATGAAGGATGAAATACAAATCACATAAAAATATATTCATACTACTTGTGTGTTTTAACAAACCTGTTTATTCTGTAGAAAAAATCGTACGACCTGTTGTCTGCAGACTCAAAAAAACAGGTGAAATCAGATCCTGTTCGGGTGAAACATTTAGGCTCCTGCTCCTCCTTTAGGAGCATTACATCTGTCCGGGAAATGACAGAAATGTTTGACTTGACTTAACTACTGTTGTATTTGTTCACAACCATTATGCAAAATATTTATTTAGAGTGGAAAATCCCCTGTTTAAACATTTAAAACATTTGTCTTACCTTGCTTTGACACACGACTGACAGTTAGATCCTTACTTTGTGTAAAAACCACAAACACTGTTTGAAT